GCCACTCATCTCTGAATGTGGACTCAAGACCCAAAATATTCTAATCTCTACCCCTCCCCTATCCATTTCCCTCCTCCTGTACCCTCTCTCAGGTTAATATGTGCCAAAACTCCTGGGGACTTTTTAAAAATATAGAACCTAAGCCCTGCTTCCCCCCCCCCCCCCCCCCCCCCCCCCCCCCGCCCCGGCCCATTATGCACACATTCTGGAGTTTGAGGAAGGGTACAGAAGTCCTCATTTTAACAAGCTCTGCAGGAGATTATAAAATAGATGATCCATAGACCCTCTCAGAAATATTCCTAAATGATGCTACTTTGTCATCTCACTTCCTCAGGTATCCTGAATTTCCAGTTTCCCTTTGAATTTGCCTGAAAAAGTGGTAAGGAAACAAGAATCCCTTTTTTATGAGTAGGAGGAAGGTTTTTGCTCCATGGAAGCAGAGCTTCCTTTTCAAGATCTTCCAGTCAACCCAAGAGGGGGCTTCTGGGACCCTGTGGAAGGGTCTGGAGTCTGAGAACTGTGGCCACAAACATCTCCAAAAACAGACCTTGGAGCAAAGCTGCTGCTGGCTGTTCTCTGTGGGGAAGATCCTGGGGGTGGGAGTAGTTTCTCCAGGGTTTGCTTTCTTGGGGGTCTCTCCAGACTGGCTGGAGCCAGGCCTCCCTAATCCTGCAGTAATCATTTCCAGCCGTTGGCTGGTCTAGGCCTCATCCAGGATCTGTAACACTGAATGTCAGCTATGCTTTCCAGATGTACAGTACCAGACCAGTCCTACCTACAAGAGCATGAATTCCACATTTAGTCTTCCACAAATGTCTGAAAATCATTTAGGGGTTTCCAGTAGGGGATCTTTGTGAAGGCTATGAATTGAGGATTTGGGGATAGAGGGATAGATATACACTTGTTTGTCTTGCTCCACCCTCCTGGAAGACACCCCTACACAGTGCAAACCAGAATGATGAGGGGGAGAGGAAGCTAACACTGTGCAGCCCCCATCCCCTATACAAATATTCCCCTCCATACCTGCCTCAAACTCCCCACATTAAGATGTAGCCCAGAGTATTTTCAGAAGTTCCTGGAGCCAAGAAAGAAAAGGGTGGGGGAGATGCTTGAGGCAAGTTTTCTGGGATAAGGCTGGTAATCCGCCAGTGTTCAACAACTTAACAATTTCTCTGAGCTCAGTAAGGGGCTGTCCAAGCAGTGACCAGTTGGATCTGTAGGTTTATCCTCAGATTGACTGTCTATTTGTCACATGTAGCTGTGAGGGGCAGCTTCCATACTTTAGACGTGTTTGAGAAGAGACTAAAATCACCCTGAGTCCTGCAGCCCCAGTACTCTTGGCTGCAAACAAGGCCCAGATACCTGTAGACTGAGCCTTTCCACAGGCTGCCTTGAGTACCAGGGAGGGAGGGAGCTCTTGGTGCCTCCCTGCAATACAGGCCAACTTCCTGTTTGTGCCTGTGGGTGGGACTTTATGAGTCTAAGGGAAACAGAGCCAGGCCTTGTGGGGGGCCAGGACTGACAACTGGCTCACCTGGGAAGGCACCTACTCCAGGGAAAGGGGCGGTGTTGATTCTGCTTGGGCAGCCCCAAGCAAAGGTGTATGTGTTGCCAAAAGGTCGGGGGAGCTGTTTTGGTTAAACCCAAGCCTTCTGTGCCTTACAGGGGTTTTTCTTGATTGAGGAGTAGGTTGAGAGTGGATAGGGTTGGGCTCTCTATCGAGCATGGGAGGGTGACAGAGTCAAGCCCCATACCTTTAGGGTAGCCAGGTAATTTAGCTTTGGGTCACGTGCTGCCTGTCCCTTCTCCAGGTGGAAAGCCATGAAGTCAGTCCACAGGGGCAGCCTCCGGCCACTATGGAGCTCTTTTTGGATTGAATATTGAGTGGGTTGTTGAGGGGGTGTGGGGAAGACCACTCCCCTCCCCGGGTGGGGGGCGCGGCCTTAGCCGCCCCGCCCCGCCCCGCTCCACCAGGTCGGGCCAGGCTGGTGCCGGGAGCCCGGAGCCCGGAGCCTGGAGCGGGCTGGGGATCGGCGTTCTCGCCCTTAGGAAGTGGGCGCGCTGGAGCAGGAGCTTGGCGGGAGCTGGAGCGGCGGTGCAGGTGGCGCTAGGTGAGTGGCAGGGCGGTGGGGGTGCAGGAACCCCCACCTCCCGCACATCTTCACTCCGGAGCGAACTTTCTGAGTCTGGGCAAGCTGAAGGTTAGTGTGAGAAGGGGTAGGGGTCCCTGCTCCGTGGGACGCAGGCGAAGAGTCCGAACAGCAAAGCGACATAGAAACCGACGGACCTAAACACACGCGTGTACACAGACCCACGCATGCACTTGGGACACATGAACACACGTGCGTTCGGAAAGGACGCACCCAGTTGGATACCCTAGCAGTCCGAGCGATCCGCGCCGACCCCAGCGGGCAGGGTGATGCTAATTTAGTCGTGGATGGGGGAAAGGGGACTCCCCGTGACCGCCAGCGGGGGCGGGCAGGGTGGGACCCATCCGGAGGTTCCTGCTTCCCAGCCGCCTCCCTGCAGGTGATAACCAAGACGTAAACAGGCGCCGAGCACGTGATTGCTCCGCAGATTGGTGGGCTGTGCTCCCCCAACCCCACCACAGGACCGCGACCAGGCCAGGGAGTTTGCTTGGTCAGGTGTGGGGCTGATTCCATCTGCCTGGAGCGGTGATAAGCCCTCTTCTAGAAATAGGAGCACAACGCCCCCTGGAGCCAGGGTGGATGGGAGGCCGAGAGACTATTAGGCTGGAAGGCGTTATTTACTTGGACTTCTCACCTTACAGTTCCGAAACACTTTGCTGAAGTCCGCGTCCCTGAGGGTATCGGAGGGAGGCCCTTGATGACAGTGGACAGCTGCCCCCGTCCCTTACCCCCAGCCCAAGGGGCAGCTGCCTGTGGGTCCCTTTCTACCACCACGTCCACCTTTTGCAGATCTGGGAGCTCCTCCTCGCAGAATAGGTACCGAGAGCCCACCCGTGCAAGAATGGGAGCCTCCTATCCCCACAGGGAATGCTAGAGAGTAAATGACCCCTCAATACCCAAGGGGCCTACCCCCTCTAGTAAGAAGGAAGAGCCCCCACCCCCGCCCCCAGGGAATGAAGGAGGGGGCTGCAATCCTGCCTTCCTCCCCGCCCCACCCCCACCCCTCCACACGCTGAGCCCAGCTGCTGCCTAAGCTTCTGGGCCGGCTGCCAGAAAGGGGAGGAGGCTCTTAGTGCCCCTGGAGGCAGGGATGGGGCAAGGCCAGAGGAGGGGGTCTTTACTGGGGAGAGGGATTCATTCTGTTCTTGTGAGGCTGAGGGTCTGGGGTGAGCCTCAGGGTGGTTGGGCTGTTTCCCTTTCCAGGGAAAAAGAAAGAAAAACAACCCTTTCCATAGAGCTAAAAATAGAGCTGAGAGCCGGCCAGGCTGTGGCCTGGAAGGGGGGGGGGGGGGGGGGATGCTCCTTCCTGGGGCCCAGCCGGCTCTGGCAGGCCGGGGATGGGGGGTGGGGGCGTGTGTAGAAGGAGGAAGGTTGGATTTGCTTAGGGGTATCGCATCAGCTGATCTGACCAGGTCACCGAGACCCCTTAGGGAAAGTCCGGGGTAGTTTCTGAGGGGGGGGGGGGGTGTTTAAGAAGTTGTCAGAGTATCTGAATAAGACTTGTCAATGAGTGAATAATGGTTAGGAGACCCAAGTCTATTTAAGTTTATGACTGGGTGCAAAGGACTGTGAGTTGGGAGAGACGGTGCACAATAGGCGTATGGCATCCAGGGTCTCCGTGTGTGAGTTGGCCTGGAAGATTGTGGAAAGGAGAAACACGCAACCACGTGATGGATGAGACCGTGTGATGTGGCTGCCTGAGACTGAATGTGGGAAAGGTCGTGTGGGTGTTAAGATTGTGTTGTTTTCGAGAGGGTGAAAATATTTGTGACCCTGAGAAACACAGTGGAATGTTGTCTGCTTTAAGGCTGGTGTAGGTTTAGACTGTAGGTTTGGATCGCTTATCCCAGCGATTGGTGGGGCCAGAGGCCGCCCCCCTCCGAGCAATGACCTCTTCTAGCAAATGACTCGGAGGGCAAGTTGTGGAGCACAGATCCGCGCCAGCGGCAGGCCTGGGCTTGCGGGCCAGGGCCCAGTGCTGGGGAGTGAAGTGGGTGACCCCCACAGTGGGGAGCGACTGGTGTGTCATCAGAACTGGCCGCCAGGTGGCGCCGCCTTTGCAAATCCAAGTGTGCCGCCTCCAACCCGTTGGGGGTGGGGCAGGCAGCGACCGGGCCTCGGCCCCGACTTGTGCCCAGGCTCCGGGCGCTGGTAGTTGAAGGCGGGCAACTAGCCCTCGGCCTCTTGTCTGGACTAAGAAGCTGGAGAGTGTCTGGGGCGGGGGGAGGCTTCTCCTAGAGAAGCGGAGGGGGAGGGGCGGCCTCTAGCGCGCCTTTGTGCTTGAACAATGACCAGCTGCCACTGGCCCCGGGGGCCAGGCTAGGGTAGAGGGTGATCCGCCCGCCAAGTTCCGAGCCGCAAAACACATGTCCACCCGGCTTCGCAGGGAGGGATCCTGAACGCTGCCGTGCAGCTCTGGCGTGCGCCCTGGCGGACACGCGTGACGTGGGGTGCTTGCGCGTGTCTGCGCCCCAGGGCGGGGACGCCCCTTGGACCCTCCTCCGCACCGCACCGCACCGCCCACTCGGGCCGGGCGGGGGCTGGCCCGGGCTGGGGGCACCGCGGTGGCGGAGGCGGAGGCGGGGCCCGGTCAGCCCGGCTGCTCCGAGTGGCCGCGCGCGGGCCGGAGCGGGCGACGCGCCTGTGGAGCGCTTGGGGCGGCCTGGGGCTGAGCATGGAGCAACGCAGCGGAGGTGAGGGGGCCAGGGCTGGGTCGCCCCAACTTCTCGTGGTGCAGTCTGGTAGGGAGGTGACATTCCACCACCGCCCCCCCTTCATGAAAGCGAGGGGGTGGGTGGGGGGTGGACTGAAGGGTGGGATGGGGGCTCCCTGCTTCCTGTCGCGAAATGGGAACTCAGACTTGTTCCTGCTTGACTGGTCCTTGGAGTTTGGGAGGGGGAGAGACTTTCCCCAACTCTGCAGCCCTTCAAACTGAGGTCTGTGAGAGCTGGGATCTTGGCCAGATGCCTCTCTGCCCCTGGCTGAACCTCAATCCCCCCAGCCCTCTAAACTGGGAGGCATCCCTATGCCAGAGTGATTGTTCAGGGAGTGCTGGGGAGAACGAGGGGTTCCCTTTTCCCACAACCACAAACGCGTTTCTCAAAATGGAGCCTCGCTTGCCCCTCCTTCTCTCTTGGGCTCCAAGAGCGGGAGCCCGGCTGGCTGGGCCTGGTTTTCCAGACGCCTGGCTCTCAAGACCCACTCCATGTCCCTCTGGATTTAGGGACCCTTGGCTCTGTGGCTTAAGTGACTCTGGTTCCCAATAGGTCTGCCTCTGTCTCCTCGTGTCTTAGCCTCTCTGCCTCTGAGTCTTTGTCTCTTGTCTTTGGGTCTGTCTTTCTGAGTCTGTCTACAGCCACCCTTTGCTCTGGTCACTCTGTGCAGTCTGAAATGAGAAGTGCACACACAGTGCCTGCCGTTTTCCCCACTGTTCTTCCGTGCCCCGGAATGGTGCCTGAGAGTGGGGAGGACAAGAGGGGGAACTTTATCAGCTTTGCTCAGGGATGGGATTTATGGGGTAGTCTCAGCCCCCACCCTTGCCCTGCCCTGCAGAGGGGCCTATGATTGCACCCTGCACCCAGCTCACCTCCTGCCTGGCTCCCAGCAACTCCTCCCTCATTCTGGTCTCCTTCATGGTGGTTCTCAGTGTTGTAGTGCCTATCCACTTGGGTGGGGGTAAAGAGGATAGACTCAATGGAGCACAGGCAAGAAAAGGGGAACAGATTGGGCAAAGGAGTCAGATATTGTGAGTCTTACCTCTCCCCACCCCTCAAGAGGGTAAAAAAAAAATCAGGCTCCCACCCACCCAGGGACCCTGCATGCCACTCAAGTCTCTACCTATTCCTGCACTTGCTCACACTCCTACAGACTCCTTTTTACATACTTGTAAAAAGTACACACTCACCTTCCTGTTCACATAATCATGTAAGGTACACATAGTAGTTTACACCTAAATTTGCATATACATAAAGGCACTGATACATCTATCCAAACATTTTCTCTGATGTAATCACATTCAGACCCAAGTTCACTGACATATGCATTTGCGTTTACCTACACTATAATATTGACCTCTTATTCACTCACACACACACACTCTTATAAGACACACTTAAGAATTCACACATACTTTCATGTATGTATAGAATGTTCTGGTACATCTGCCCAAACACATATATTCATACCTCCTCGTGATGTACTCACACATTTTCATATACATGGACAGTGTTCATTTTCATGCTCCTGTACATATAGTCATGCACAGAAATAAATAAATATGCACACTCCTACTCCCGTGAAGTTCTCTGTCCACTTCTTGGCCCTTGCTCTGCATGATGACTTCAGCAGATGCCTAAGTCCTGGTCATCAACAGTCTCAGTACTGGGAGGGAGTTCCGGGTGGAGGTTTTGCTATCCCCTTCCAGGAAGGAGCAGGGCCTGGGGAGGTGGAGCCCTCTTGCTTGAGATTCTGGCAAGGGAATCTTGGAGCAGCTGCTAGAGGTGGTGGTGGGCTTCTGCATGTATCCCTGGGGCTTACTTTGGAGACCAGCTAAAGCTGGAAGGTTTCATAGAGGTTAGCTGCAGGGCAGAGACTGTCCAGCCTCTTTGGATCCTAACTATGGATTGTGGAGAAGCTGGGAGTTGTCATAGAAGTAAGCATGAGCTTGCCTCTACCTCTGAGAGGCAGGGGACCCCAGAGGGCTCCTTAAAAGCTGTGGGGTTCCTGTTTATCCAGCTCCACCTTTGCCGCCTCTCTGTCTGAGAGAAACTGAGGCCCAGCAGGGGGAGGTTGGGCACTACCTGGCCTCAGCTGTTTGTTCCCTAATTACCATCTGAGTTGCTGATTGCATCCCTGATGTTGCAGCCTAAACTGCCCTGTAATGAGGTCACCTGTCCCAGGAGAGCAGGGACCTACCTGTGCTTGGAACTGGTGGAGATGGCTCCACACCTCACCTGAGCCCTGACCTCTTATAGGTTTGAGCTTGGGCCTGGATCTCCATTGCCAAATGGCCCTATGTAACCTCCCAGACCTCCCATCCCTTCATCTCTGCTTGGTGAAATCAATCAACCTGTTCAGACCAGAGTTGGGCAGTCGTCTGGCATCTAGAGAAGATTGAGGTTCATGCCAGTGTTTGGAGGAGGAGGCTTGCGAGGGATTGGGACTTTTTATTGGTGCTGGGGTGGAGGGAGGTTGACCTGGATCACAGGATCAGGAGAAGACCTTGTATGGGGATGGGGCTAATGGTGGAGGGACTCTGACACCCCGGCCCTGCTTACACAGGTTGCCCTCGAGGCCCTTGGCCAGGCCTGAGCCTCTGCTGCCATGGCCATTGTGCACACTCTGCCAGTGCCACTGGAGCCAGCTCCTGAGGCCACAGCTGCCCCACAAGTTCCCACCATGGGCAGCGTGAGCAGTCTTATCTCTGGCCGGCCCTGCCCTGGGGGGCCAGCTCCTTCTCGCCACCACGGCCCCCCTGGGCCCACCTTCTTCCGCCAGCAGGATGGGCTGCTACGGGGTGGCTATGAGACACAGGAACCACTGTGCCCAGCTGTGCCCCCCAGGAAAAATGTCCCCAGCACCAGCTTCACCTACATCAATGAGGATTTCCGAACAGAAACACCCCCCAGCCCAAGCAGTGACATTGAGGATACACGAGAACAGCGGGCACGCAGTGCCCACCTCCGTGGTCCCCCACCAAAGCTCATCCCTGTCTCTGGAAAGCTGGAGAAGGTAAGGACCAGCCCCTCTTTGGGAGTCTGGGTAGAATCAAAACCCCATTCCCCGGGGAAGCTGGAATTTGTAAGCCTTTTTACAGGGTAGAATGTGAGCTCGAGAGTCACCAGCCCTGGTTTCTAATCCCACCTGTCACATTCTGGCTGTGTGACCTTAGGGAAATCACTTAGTCTATCTGAGCCCATTTTCTGTTATCAGTCTAGTCAAGGTAGACTTTCATTGGCTGTCATGAGAATTAAATCAAATAATGCTTAGCATGGTACTGAGGACCTACCTAGCAAGTACTCAGTAAATCTTAGTTTCTTCAGTTATCAGTGTCCAACAACCATGAGTTTGATTTGGACAAGGCCTATGGCCTTGCTCAGCCTCCTTTTCCTCATCAGTAATATGGGGATGGTTATAATGTTTTACTCGTCTGACTGTCATAATTGACTGGAAATGAACCTTTTGAATCACTTGACATAAAGCTGACACCCAGGAAGCCCTCTGCCAGTGGTAGCAATTGTTATTAATGTATGTGGGTTGGAGGTGGGAGGGCAGGGAGCATGACAAGAGCTTTGAAGGATCAGGCAGCTCATCCTCAGTGTTATGTGGTACCTTGTTTCAGAACATGGAGAAAATCCTGATCCGCCCAACAGCTTTCAAGCCAGTGCTGCCCAAACCTCGAGGGGCGCCCTCCCTACCTAGCTTCCTGGGTTCTCGAGCCACAGGGTTGTCTGGGAGCCAAGGCAGCCTGACACAGCTGTTTGGGGGCCCTGCCTCCTCCTCCTCCTCTTCCTCCTCTTCCTCTGCTGCCGACAAGCCCCTGGCATTGAGTGGCTGGGCCAGTGGCTGCCCCTCAGGGACTCTATCTGACTCTGGCAGAAATTCTTTGTCCAGCCTGCCTACCTATAGCACCGGGGGTGCTGAACCAGTCACCACCTCCCCAGGCGGGCACCTACCCTCCCATGGTTCTGGGCGGGGGGCATTGCCTGGGCCAGCCCGAGGGGCCCCTACTGGGCCCTCCCACTCAGACAGTGGCCGGTCCTCCTCCAGCAAGAGCACAGGCTCTCTGGGGGGACGTGTGGCTGGGGGGCTCTTGGGTAGTGGTCCCAGGGCCTCCCCTGACAGTTCCTGTGGGGACCGCTCCCCTCCACCCCCACCCCCACCTCCCCCTTCGGATGAGGCCCTGCTGCACTGTGTCCTGGAAGAAAAGCTCCGAGACCGAGACCGTGACCGTGAGGCAGATCTGCAGCAACTGCGGGACAGTCTGGATGAGAGCGAGGCCACCATGTGCCAGGTGTGGTCAGTGGTGGTATTGGGGGTGGTGTGGCAGAACATCCAAGGATACTGGAAGTGCAAGGAACATTTCCATTTGGTGGGGAGACGGGGATGGGCAGTTAGATTAACACCCCCCTGGTGTCACGTGCAGAGTGATAAGGAGTCAGAGCACTGCCAGCCATGTGCCAATTTTTAAAAATTGAGCAAGTTACTTAACCTTACAGAGCTTCAGTTTCTCCATCTATAGATGGAGATATTTCTGGCTCCATAGGGTCAACATGAGAAATAAGGCCAAGGATATAAAGTGCTAGCCTGGCACCTCGGAAGTGCAGTGTAAATGCTTGGTGTTACTATGGTGGTGGTTTCTATTATTATCATAAAAGCCATTCATACTACTGTTGTAATAATTATTACTGGTTTCATGGACTCTGCCTTCTTAGAACCCAAACTGTGGGCCACCTGGGCAGTGAGCAGGTAAGGGTGGCAGGGCTCAGTCTGGGGAACCTAAGCAGGACAGACCTGCCTTCTTGCCCACAGGCATTCGGGGAGCGGCAGCGACACTGGCCTCGAGAACGCGAGGCCCTGCGTGAGGACTGTACAGCCCAGGCGCAGCAGGCCGCACAGCGAGCCCAGCGCACCCAACAGCTGCTGCAGCTGCAGGTGTTCCAGCTGCAGCAAGAGAAGCGCCAGTTGCAGGATGACTTTGCACAGCTGCTGCAGGAGCGTGAGCAGCTGGAGAGGCGCTGTGCCACCTTTGAGCGGGAGCAGCGGGAACTTGGACCACGGCTGGAGGAGACCAAGTGGGAGGTGCGCCAGACCAGGAGGGACAGGCAGGAGGTGACACCAGGACACACCCTGGAAACACAGGCCCAGCTATACACTCTCTCAGCCAACCACCCCAGAGTGCCTGCCCTTTCTCACCTCTGTGAGAAAAGGACCCTCAGATCTCCCTTTTTGGGTGGGGTTCTCCTCCTGCCTCCATGTTAGGTCTCCTTGTTGGTCTGCCTGGTGCCCACATAGCCAGTGGCACTGCTGTCTCACTGCCTTCCCTACAAGGTGGGTATTATTAATATCCCTATTTTAGACACAAAGAAACTGAGTTCCAGAAAAGCTGGAGCCGGGACTCACTCACACAACAGAGGCAGAAGTAAGATTTGAACCCAGGCTCAGATGTCGGTTCTCACACCCGAGACTGTGGTGCCTCTCACCTGGACATGTGCTCTGCCCATGATTGCTCCCACTCCCGCACCACAACCACCTTGTTCCCGTGGCTAGGCAGTGCTTCCAGAGTATCTTCTGATGTTTTGATAACACCAGATTTGAAGGAAAAAGATCTGGTCTGTGTTCCCCTTTAGCTACTTACAAGGTGTGTGACATTGGATATGTGGCTAGGCTCACCTCAGTGTCTCTATCTGTAAAATGGAGGTAATAATTGAGCTTCCTGAATGCCCAGCATGATGCCCAGGGCCTGATCCCCTGAGAGAACCCTTCTCACCATCCTTCCTGACCATCTCCCGCCCTCAGGTGTGCCAGAAGTCAGGCGAGATCTCCCTGCTGAAGCAGCAACTGAAGGAGTCTCAGGCAGAGCTGGTACAGAAGGGCAGCGAGCTGGTGGCACTGCGGGTGGCACTGCGGGAGGCCCGGGCTGCTCTGCGGGTCAGTGAGGGCCGAGCCCGGGGCCTGCAGGAGGCAGCCCGAGCCCGGGAATTGGAGCTGGAGACCTGCTCCCAGGAGCTACAGCGGCACCGCCAGGAGGCCGAGCGGCTCCGAGAGAAGGCCGGACAGTTGGACGCTGAGGCAGCTGGACTCCGGGAGCCCCCTGTACCACCTGCCACGACTGATCCATTCCTCCTGGCAGAGAGTGACGAGGCCAAGGTGCAGCGGGCAGCAGCTGGGGCAGGAGGCAGCCTGCGGGCCCAAGTGGAGCGGCTGCGGGTAGAGCTACAGCGAGAACGACGGCGAGGCGAAGAGCAGAGGGACAGCTTTGAGGGGGAGCGACTGGCCTGGCAGGCCGAGAAGGAGCAGGTGATCCGCTACCAGAAGCAGCTGCAGCACAACTACATCCAGATGTACCGGCGCAACCGGCAGTTGGAGCAGGAGCTGCAGCAGCTCAGCCTGGAGCTGGAGGCCCGTGAGCTCGCTGACCTGGGCCTGGCTGAGCCAGCACCTTGCATCTGCCTGGAGGAGATCACTGCCACTGAAATCTAGGACTCCAGCTCCACAGTGAGCTTCACTGAAGGGGCCAGGAGCCACGGGTCCACTCAGACCCCAGAACCCAGTGAGCATCCCCAAGTCTTAGGGTCTCAGAGCCGCTTGTCTTCCAGGGTACAGGCCTCTAGGCCTCTGTAAGAACTTGGGTGTCCCTGACTTGGAGGAGCAAGATCAGACCCCTTGAACGTCCCCCATGTTCACTTTATCCAGAGGCTCCTACTATTCTGCCCATCTCACTCCCCAGCTGCTGCCAGTGCCACCCCACCAGTTCTGTTTGTCCCAAATGCTTGACAGCCCTTTCCAGCCGTCGGAGCTGGGAAGAGGAAGGGGCTTCCTCATCTCCACATTCTCCCCACCCCAAAGCCAGAGAGAGCCAGATGGCACCAGCTGCTCCAGATGTGCCTGCCCCCACTTTGGCCATGTTGGGGGACAGGGCTGGAACTGGGGTCTGATCCCCATGTCCCAGCTCTGCAGCCTCCCTCCTGGGCTGAGGGGGCTGAAGTCAGACCAAAGGAAGAACTCAGAAATGTCTTGTTTATTTGTGTTTGTGACCAAGCAGCCCTTCCCAACACCCAGGTTTATGGCCTTGTTTTCACTTGTATATTTTTCACACTGTAAATTTCTTGTACAAACCCAAAGAAAAAATTAAAAAAAAATTTTTTTTGGTTTTTAAAAAAACATGAATATGCTGGATAAACGAGTGCTGGAGGAACTTGTTTGACCTCCATCCCTTCATTGTTTGCTGGCAACTCCCACACCTCTCATAGCTCTAACTAAGGAGAGGAAGGGCCATGGGGGAAGGACAAGTCCAGCAGAAAGTGAGGTCCTAGTGTACCACAGCATGAAAGTGTCTCTGTTAGGAACTGGAAAAGCTTTCTATCTTGTCTCTTGCACTGAATGCTACTTGGAACTGGGGGGTGGATGCATTGACCCCTTGAGGAGTCTCATCAGTTTTTGTCCCTCAATTCTTTAGGGAATTGGGGGTGGGGGAGAGGGGACATGAGAAGATGCCCACCAATCCTAGGCTCCAGACCTTGAGTTTTTCACTCCCCTCCTTGTCTTAGGAGTTTGGAGGGGCAGTGAGTGTAGGTGACAGGCTGCCTGTTAGCACTTTGTCCATGATGGACACCAGGTTTATCTGGAAAGGGCGGAGTGTAATTGACAGCCGGGAGGGGAGCAGAGCTAGCAGTGTGGAGCTCTAGTAGACAAGGCAAGCAGGACCAAGATGTTCCTGAGTCCCCAGGAGTTTCACAAGAGAGGTCCCAGAGAGAAAAGGAAGACTTGGATTCAGTGGTGGGAGGGCGGGCGGGGGGGGCGGCTGGGGCCAGTGGAAACAGTCCTTGGGAATCGGGGGGGAGGGGTCAGGGGTTAGTTTCAGGAGTCTGGAGGGTTGGGGAAGGTATTGGGCTAGGAGTCCTCTGGAGAAGTCTGGCCTTCTCTGTAGGATGGGTCCTGGCACTCATGGAAGATTTTGGGAGCCAGTGGGAGGGAACTGGAGTAGCATCAGGGGGTGGGTGGGCAGAGGGAGGATCAGGAGGAGGGTGCTGACTAGTAAGAACTGACAGGTCAGGGGGTAAGGGGAGCTGACCAGGCCCAGGGACCCTGACCACAAGCTCCATGGGTTCCCGAGCCTTGTTTCTATAAGCCTTGCGGATGGTGTCCACTGCTCGCTGGTGGGTCACCTGCTCCAGGCTCTCTCCATCCACTGCCACAAGCTCGAAACCAGCCTGGGATCAGGATGGGAGAGTCATGGCACTCCCTGGGTCACTCCCACCCTACCACCTAACCTGAAGGCAGTGTCCTCTCACCTCCACTGGCTAGGATACTCCTCCCCCAACTGGGTTCAGGAGATGGACAATGGGACTTTTGTGCCTGGAGCCATTGTTGGGGGCAGGGTGGGGCATAGACAATGGCCTTTTGTTCCTTGAGGCCCAGGGTGGAACAGGATGGGCCGTCCCTCAGGCCTAGGCTAGCATCAGGGGACAGATTTTCCCCTTAGGCCTATTCTCCTGACCCCTGTGCTCCCAAGCTTCTTCCCACAACCTGGTCTGAACATGTCTGGATGAAGCAGCCCCACACCTTGCCAGACTTCAGCTCTGGGCCTAGGGAGTGGACTTCACCTACCTGCAGGGCCCCGCTGAGAAAGGCGGCACCCCCTGGGAAGATCTTCTCTATCTTCACCATGGGCTGCACCCTGGACTCGATGCCCCCTGAAATACTGATGCCTAGAGAGGGTCAAAGGCTCTGGGTGAGAATATAGCCATACCCCCAAATCCCAGGAGGAACCTAGGACCTCATCCCAAAATCCAGGACCCCCAACTTCTCCCAAACCCCAGGTTCTGTTATTGCTCAAGTCTCAACTCCCAAATCCTTCAAATTCCAACTCTCCCAAATCTAGATTTCCCTTTACCCGAGGTTCTTTTCCTATGCCCAGGCAGATCTTGAAATTCAAGTTCACCAACCACCCAAACCCAGGAGTCTACCCCGCCAGTGCAGTCCACCCTGCACTCACCCAAGGACTGCTTCATTTTAGACAGTGTGATTGTCCTCAGCTCCCCACTGGGGGCCTTCATGGCTGCCTCCTCAGCTCCCCTGCCGGATCCATTCTCTGAAGGACCTTGCCTGGCCCCCACCTTAGCCACCTGCCCATCCAGGGGTCGTGGCAGAGGGGGCCTGGCCTTCCGAGGCCTGTGGTAGCGCCCATTGGCTGCGCTGGAGGTGGGGATGGGTGCTGGGGAAGGGGAGCGCCTGCACCCAGGGGACTTGCCTCGACCCCTGCTGTGGCTTCTGCTTCGACCCTGGGCTTGGCCCTGGCTCTGGCTCTGGGGTTCTGTCAGCAGCCAGTTAGGCCGCGGTGGCCGGGGAGCGACAGGGGGTGGTGGGGGAGAGGGTGTACATGTGCTTCTGCATGGTGTGAAGGCATCTACTGGCACATCTTGGAGAGGGGGGATCCCTTGATGAGGGTGGTGGGGAGCCGAGGCACTCAGGGAGACCTTGAGGCCCCCCAGCTGCTCCCTCAGCTCCCCATCCTCTTCTTCAGAGAAACCGTTCATAGGCAGCAGGTAGAAACCTCCACGGCTATCTGGGGAAGAGGCCAAGGTCAGGCTGTTGCCTCCTGGCCTCCCACCTCAGACCACCTTTCCAGCCACCAGGTCTTGCCTTTGTGTGTGGCCTATGAGAACCAGACCTGCATTTGCTCAGGCCCACTGCCCACTGGGACAGACAAGTGTGATCTATTATAGTCACATTTTAATACATTCTATTATAATACATTTCTTTCTTTCTCTTTCCTTTTTTTTTTTTTTTGATACTGGTGATTGAACTCAGGGGTGCTTAACCACTGGGCAACATCCCCCCAGACCTTTTTATTTTATATTTTGAGAGTTGCTGAGTTGCTTAGGGCCTGGCTGACTTGCTTAGGGCCTCGCTAAGTTGCTGAAGCTGACTTTGAACTTGCAATCCTCCTGCCTCAGCCTCTCAAGTTATGGGATACAGGTGTGTGCCATCCTGAACAGCTTGAACTGATAATTTCTCCAATATTATCACATAGAATGAGACTGGATTTAAAAAGCCAGCAGGTTTAAAAGCAGCTGTGAAGTGAGTAACAGTGCAGGTGGTAAGTGGATGGGATGAAAATGGACAAGGGCTTTCCTTCAATGGGCCTCTGAAGCCATGAGGACCCCATTTGGGGGCAGGGATGGAAGGCCCCTTCTCTTTCCTAACGTTACCCGGGTTGTGCCCCCTCCTTGGGTTTTGAGATTCCAACTGACCAGGCACAGGGGTGATGAGGTGACGTTTGGGTGGCGTGTCCTGCCGGGCTGGTCTCAAAGCAGGAGGCCGTACTGGTTGGAGAGAACAAGTCAGAAGTAAGGCAGGTTAGCAACTTCTGCTGGCCCCACCCCCACCTGGGCTCAGGATCCTGTAGTCCTGGCCCCCAGCTGCTGACCTGCCCTGCTCTTGAGGGCCTCAAAAGCCTCCAGCTCCACGGGCATCACCATACTGTCAAAGCGGCCCAGGTCCGTGGGGGCCACCACACTCCTAGAAGAAGCAAGAGATGTGGGTGAGCAGAGTTCAGTTGTTGAGGTAACTGGAGGAGCTTCCTCCCTGGGGATGTTGAGGTATCAGGGATCCCCTCCTGCCCCCACTCCTCAAGCCCCTCCCCACCTGATGTCCCGCAGCAGCAGGAGCTTCTCAGGCTTGTCCAGAATAGCCAGCAGGGGCCTCACCAGGTCCTCCACACCACCCTCATGCACATACTGCAGATAGAGGCACCACAGGTCAGACAAAGTAGGGACTTCACAGGTGGGCCAGGGGAAACCAGAGCACATAGGGGCCTTGGGACCCATTCGACCCTCCATGTTTTGGGAAATGTTCAGTCCACCCCAGGGTCTAGAGGATGGTCTTATCTTGGTGACCTTGTGGAAGCCTGAAGTAATAACAGATCCATAATAAATGGCAGGAACAATAATAGCTTTGGGACAGACACTTTTCTAAGCCTTTTACATGTGGCTTCTCACTTAACCACCCTGAGAGATGACATTAACTATTTCTATTTTATGAATGAGTAAACTGAGGCTCAGAGGGGACTTTGCTCAAAGCAACACAGATAAGGAAATGTGAGGAAGGACTGCAACCGGAGATATCTGGCTCTTCCCTGCTCTGGTGGCATTAAAGGATGAGCAGGGAGTCCACTCTCCTCCCCACCCCCAACTCCTGACACAAGGAAGGAATTTGAGCCCAACACTAGGCTGTGGGCCTGACCCTTTGTTTGGAGCTGGAATGGGGACCTTGGGGAAGGGGTGGCTCCTCAAAAAGCTTCTTCAGTCAGTACCCTTCTGCCTGGCACTGCCTGGATGCCACCAACGCGGATGCCACACCCCACAGACTGGAGAACTGAACACTGGGAGCCACCCTACTTGGGCAGAATACTTCCCCCTGGTGGCGAGAGGGAGACAGATTCAGGGACATGCACACAGAGAACCTCTTTTATGGGCATAGACAGGGAGAGCGCATCCTCTGGTGGTCATAGTGAGTCATTTCCATTCATAAATAGCTGGAAATAAATAAAAACGTCGTGTGTGGCCCTAAACCTCACGCAGTCACAGGGATTCATACATACACAAACCACAATACACTCCTTGTTGTCTGAAGAAAGACATGCAAATGACACAGAAACAGCCACTTGTGTGTACATACATCAAGTCCACAAATCATTCAGCATCCAGGCCCTGTACTGGGCAGTGGAGACAAAATAATGAAGACCCCTGTCCCCAATCCTCGGAAACTCAGTCTAGTGGGAACACAGGGCAAATGAACCATAAATTCCTGGCAGTGGGGCAACGGGGGTTTCAGAAGTGGAGGATCTGAGTGGGCTTCCTGGAGATGGTGGCCTTTAACTCAGATTCTGAAAGAACAGATCAGGGAGGCAAGTGCTCCAAAGGCGAAGAGGAACAATGAGTAAACAGGTTTAGTGTGGCTATGGGGTCCACAAGGAGCCTCCACGTAGGGCTGCACAGTGGTGAGCGCTGTGACTAGTCCTCCCTGAAGTTGCTTAGTTAGTAACCTGTTCAGGCCAAAGTGGTGGCCATGGAAGACAATGGGAAAGGTGTTGAGAGGTGACCTCAGAGAGGGCCTTAAATGTGAGGATAAGCAACTTATATTCTATTCTGCCAAATATAAGTGGTCAAGAGGTGGCTTGGGGACCATGGAGTGAGCACAGAGGTATTTTGGTCTCATGGCTGTGTAGCGATGGCTCAGAGGGGAGAGAAAAGGGAGGCCTGAGGTTCAGGGCTTTATAGCCCAGGCATCAGAGGAACTTTATCGATCCCTGAGGGCTGGATTCATCCCAGAGGGTGGTGGAGGGGACTGGGTCAGGCAGTATGTAGAGCCTGCAGGTGATATGGGGACAAAGTGAGTACATGTCCTGACTTGAGGGCTGCAGAGTGGAGGGATGAAGGGGAAAGGCATTGGCCAAAGAAACAGACACAGAACCCCACCTAGTGGCCACATCCCAGAGGTACAAGATCCCTGGAGGTTGGTGAATAACAGCTGTACTTAGCACTCAGAGCTGAGTGTGACACCTACTGAGTTTAATTCTGAGTCCAGTAGCTGCCTCCCAACATGCACCCCGATCTGCAGCTCTACTGTGAACCAGGCCTTAGTAAAGGGATACATGAATGACCACATCTTAGGGTCCAGGTGACAATACCTGGACACAAACATGCACTAGCCAGATACATACAAGCCCATACATAGATAAAATCATGCAGTCATGTTGACACAAATCAAGTAGCCCTAGCCCACAGACATGCCAATGCAGATATTACACTGATATACAACATCACTCTGAGCAAGGTGGGTTGGAGGAATCTGCACATGACTCTCTGAAACCCCTCAGCCTGCACAAGCAGAGCAGAACCCACAGAACTCCAGGGATTCCTGAGACAAAGGATAGGACAGAATCTTCCAGTCCTCTTAGAGCGGGCGAGCTGCACCACATAGCCTCCCCAAAAGCTGACACCCACCCTGCCCTAGGGTCCTTGGGTTCTGTTTCAAGTAGAAGAGACCAGAATAATGGTGTAGGATTGCTTACGTGGGTAAGTAAGTAACTTAGTTACTTGGGTAACAGAAGGGGACTTTGTTTTCTCTTGTTAAAAAAAAAAGAAAAAGAAAAAGGGGACTTTGCATAGGGCTGGATCTACTGACTGTCCCAGGAATAAAAGGTGACAAGGGGGATAAGGCTGGGTGGGGGCTTAGAGGGACTAACTTCCACTCACTCATCACCTGTCCACCTTTTCTCTTCTCCTCGGTTTAAATGTCACCTCCTCAAGGAGGCCTTCCTAGACCATGCCACCTAATGTGTACCTCTCCGGGGTTATCTTTTATGTTTTTCTCCTTCACAGCATCTTGAGTGATTTGTTACTAGGGGTGTTTAGGATCTAGTTATCATATAGCTCCCTTTCCTGTGAGATTGCTCTGTGTGTGTGTTTGTGTGTGTGTGTGTGTGTGTGTGTGAGAGAGAGAGAGAGAGAGAGAGAGAGAGAGAAAGAGAGAGGTGTATTTTTCTTTTACTGACTGCTGGCCTCTCAGAATCAAGCCCAGGTACTGCTCAATAGACAGTGGCCTGAATGAATAAGGGGCTAGGTGAGTGAGCCACTGTGGGCCACAGCTATGGGAGGGCTGGGGGCTTACCCGTGAGCAGTGACGGGTGACTGCCAGCACCTCATCATCTGTCAGCAGCCGCCGGGCCAGGTCCTGAATGAGTGGCCACCGGCTCTCCCAGGCCTGCACCTGCTCATTGGGCAGCTGGCTAGAGGGGCTCCCGGACCTGGCAGAGATCAGGGCCTGGCTCCTCTCCCGGTCTGCAGGGCAGGGAGGGGCAAAAGGATGTGATGGAGGAGCGGGAACTGTCGGGGTGGGTGGGCTTCCCTACCAGGGGTCAGGCCTGAAGAAACAGGCCAGCTGAGAGGCCCAGGTACCTAGCATGAAATTCTAGCCTAGTCCATATATTCCCCAGTATGGCCTTCCACAGCAACCTGCCCTCCAGTGGAGTACCAACCCCAGCCTTTAGTCCCCAAACCCACCCCTACACCAGTCTACTCCTTAATGGAGTCTTGGCCCAGTGATCTCTGTGCCCCCTAAAAATACACTGTCATACTAGTCTGTTCCTCATTGGAAGCCCTATCACAGACTTTCTCATTGACCCTAGATATCTCTCTGGGAGACTCAGCACAAACCCTCAAAATGTATCCCCCTATCTATGTGCAACCCTATCTTTTCTAGTTGGGTATGGTAAGTAAGTTTAGACCAATTCTTTGAACTGCCCCCAATATGTACCTCTTTGCCTGATAGTCCTTGCTCGAGCCCAACAGATTTTAGTCCAAAGCCATCAAACCGGCCCCAACATGCACCCTTATCTCCACCCTACTGTTGACCAGGCCTTGGGAAAGACATGCATGAATTACCACGTCTCAGTCTCCAGGTGACAAACTTCTGTACAGGCCCAACTCCCCCTGCTGTGAAGAAGAAAAAGGCTCAGGCAGGCTCTGGAAAAAGGGTTGGGAGGGACTCAGTACTGACTGAAATGGAGCATTCAGGATGTAAGTAGGTTGGATCCAGAGACAAGAGAACTGGACCCCAGGGGCTTGAAGGTCATGCTCAGCTAGGGACTTCACTCTTAGGCAACAGAGAGTCAATGAAGATTTTGGATCAAGAGAGGATTCAGTGTGAGCACTGCTCAGGGAGATTCATTTGAAAGAAGGAGAAAAGAACCCCAAGGACAGAGCCTGGGGTACCTACCTTCAAGGGTCAGAGGAGAAAAGAGGAGCCTTCAAAAGATAGATAAGAGTGACCAGAGAGGTGAGCTGAGAACCAGGAGAGAGCAGTGTCCTGGGAGCTGTGGGAAGAGAGAGGTGAAGGGGTGGGGGGTTGGCCCTAATTTGGAGGGCTGTCTCTCCTATGGAACTGTCACCTTGATGCCCCAGAACATCCAAATCCAGAGTGGGGCAGCATCCAGCTCCTCTTTCTCTGATTGTTTTCACCTACCCAACATCCACTCCCCTTTTCTGGAAACCTCACCCTAATGGTCTCCTGGGGACCAATGTCCCCATTCTCAGCCCATGTACTCTGGGGTAGGCATGTGACCCAGGCTGGCCAGCAAAAACACTTTGTCTCCCACATCACTGTGGTTTGTTTAGCATGGTTTGTGATCCCAGTGGGGATGAGAGACAGGTTCATGAGACTTAGCTGGAACTACTTCAGGAGAAACTACTTTTCCCTGGGGATTGCGAAATAATAGTGGCCATCTTATCAAGTCAGTAAAGCCCGAATGATGGCAAATCAACTCACCAGAAAATGGAACCAAAAGACCAATGGACACATGTAGTGATATTTTTCAGACCTTTAGACCTGCCTAAGTCAGTACCTGAGCTAAGAGGTCTTTTTTTTTTTTTTTTTTTTTTTGGTACCAAGGATTGAACCCAGAGGTGGTTAACCACTGAGCAACATCCTCAGCTCTTTTTTAAATAAAAAAATCTCCTTAGGTCCTTGTTAAATAGCTGAGACTGGCCTGGAACTTGTGATCCTCCTGCCTCAACTTCCTGAGTCACTGGGATTATAGGCATGCACCACCATGCCCAGCAAGAGGTGACTTTTTTTAAAAAAATATTTTTTAGCTGTTGATAGACTTTTATTTATTTATTTTATATGTGGTACTGAGAATCGAACCCAGTGCCTGACACCTGCCTTGCAAGTGTGCTACCTCTGAGCCATGGCCACAGCCCCAAGAGGTGAGTTTGGTTAAGTTTCTGTCAAAGGCAGCTCTAAGAGTCTTAACTCATCCACTCTTGGCCTGGATGTTGAGCCTTACCAGGGAGGACAGCCATCTCGTGGGTGGGAAGCCTCATGTGAGTACAGCGTGGGCCTTGATCTAGAAATGGTCTTGCTCAATGATTCTAGAATTTGATTGGGCCTGAGAAGCTAGATGGCTGGCAAAAGCAAGCCCCACTACTGCCACCACCAAGGGCACTGGGCTCTGAGCCAAGGTCTTCTACTTCCTTGCTGTGTTGCAACTCTGTCACTTTTCCTTTCTGTACAAAGGGAGGTAAGGCAAGATGACAATGACCACCACATTTTCCGAGCACCTTCTGTGTGCCAGACAATGTGATTTACATTTGCTAACTCACTTATTCCCCAGTATTCTAAAGAAACAGGCATTATTACTCCTATTGAATCTATGAGGAAAACTAGGCTCTCCAGGTTGAGTGGTGAGGCGGTGTGCCAGAGGCCCCAGCTGGCGGACTTTGCCCCATCTTCCCTGCCTGGTCAATCCAGCACCTACCTTTCTCCAGGTCCAGGCGAGGGCGGGCTTTGGCTGGGCTCCTGCTGTCCAGTGTCCAGGCCTCTCTGCGCCCATCCCCTGCAAGCCGCCCCTGCCGCCCTCCCTTGAAGAAGAGGTTCATCAGAGTCTTGGAGCGCTGCAGGGCCCCCTTCTCCCCAGGGGACCCCGACTTCTCCTTCTTCCGCTGTTTCTTCTCCTCTGCAGACACGAGGGAGCACCCGGGGGGCTGGAGGGTGGGCAGAAGGGAAGGACGAGGGGCAGGGGTGTGGGAAGGGGCAGAGAAAAGGGAGAGTGGGGGTGGCAGACAGGATCTGCACTCGTGCAGGGTGGGGAAGGGTATGGGGGGTTCCTCCTCCAGTTTCCACCTCTCCCAGAATCACACAAGTGCAGCCGTGTAAGGAATCTGGGGCTGGGGAGAACAGGCCTGGGCACTCCAGATTGAAAGGACAGGGGTGAGGGCGGGTTTGGAGATCAAAGTTGGGGTAGGACTAAGAACAGGTTTGCGGCCCAGGTCTGGCTTAAAATGGAACCCAGAACATGGGATGAGTATGCTTTAGGGCTGAGCCTGGGCCAAGATCTGAGGCAAGAGGGACAGAATGAGCAGTTTTGGACCAGGGACTATAGAGAAAGCAGCAACCTCCCATTCCCCACGTACCCCATAGGGTCAGGTGGCTCTGGGAGCGTGTGATGGGGGGCCGGGGTCGGCTAAGGGCCAGCAGCAAAGCAGTCTTGGGGGACTCTGAGAGGGCAGAGTCAAGGCGGCGGGCAGGAGGGGGTCCTTCAGAACGGATGGCTGTGTCTCTGAGGATGACTGTGGGCCGCACGCTACACCAAGTCTCCACACGGCCCCCCACATCAGGCTCCGTCTGCATGGCTGTGTCCGCCCGCCCCCAACCTGGTCCTTGGCTGCCCAGGTCATCAGGCCCCAGGCAGACATCCATGCGGTCCGAGGGCAGGGAGCCTGAGCTATAGGGGGCGCTGGAGGCATATGAGGAGACACTGGAGCTGCTCTCAGAGGTAGGTGACAGCTGCTGCAGCACCCCATTGCTCACTGCAGGGAGATGGGAAGGCAGGGGCATATGCAGCACCTGGGCATATGACGGGTTTGCCTCAGCACCCTGTGAGGCTTGCAGATCACCCCGGGGCTTGCGGGTAGAGGAACGGAGATCAAAGATCTACTTCCTTGACCAACAAGTGAGGCATGGCCAACTACATGTCCAAATGAGGGCCCAGGTCAGGGGTGGACCTGATAAGGGATGTGGTCACCAGGAGGGGGGGAATTAGAACTCCTTTCCTTTCCTTTTCTACTTCTTGCGGGTAGAAGGCCAGGCAGCTACTAAGGTTAAAGCCACAAGCTGCTACGCAATCCTGCCTCTGTCTTATGAGAAACCTCAGACAGAGCACTTCTCTGTTCACTCTCTGGGCCTCAAGGCCCTAGAAGAGCCTGAAATTGAATCTGCAAGACATCAGGGGGGTCCTAGAAGCCGCTCTGGGTTATGTGAGGGTCTTGAGTAGATCTTGGTCCCTGTCCTTTCTTTTTCAGAGACCCTGGCCCCACTCTTGGGTCTTAGCCCCTTTCCCTCCAAATTTGAGGACTTAAGCCACTTACATCGGTCCAGCCAACAGTACTCAGAAACCATCTCCTTGTAGGCAGGGTACCGGCCTGTCTCCTGGGGAGGTCATGGTGGGATAGGAGGAACAGGTGAGAAGGGAGGGTGAGAAATGGGACAGGAGTAAACCTTAATTTCCATTTCTCCCTTCTGAATCCACTGTGCTCTAGCAACATTGGCCACTTCATTTCTAATCATGCCAAGTTCCTTTATACCACAGGATCTCTGCACCTGCCCTCCCTTCTGCCTGTTTTCTCTTCCTTCAGCTCATTATGTGGCTAGCTCATTCTTGCTCTTTGTCACTTCCTCAGAGAGACCTGCCCTGATGTCCCCTGGCTAAGATCCTATAAGGATCTTCCCAAATTACTCCATTCCACCTCTCTGTTAATTTCCTGGTGGCGTTTGTCACAGTCTACAAGTATCTGGTTTGTCCTTTTCCCCCCAGGAGCAGAGACCTTGGCTGTCCTGTCATTGATGCAGCCTCAGTACCTGGCATAGCATTCAGCACAGAGTAGGTACTCAAAATATTGTAGTTTTGTTTTGTTTTATGTGGAGTTGGAAATTGCACCCAGGGCCTCAAGCCTGCTGGGCAAAAACTCTACCACTGAGGTATACCCTCAACCCTCAAAAATATTGTTGAATGAATGAATAAGAGGCAGAGCAGGAGTGAGGAGGGGGTCTGGGATAATTTGAGGAAGGAAAGGGAGAAATGGGATGCGGGAGAGGTGGGAAATAGTTGGGGTGGAGGAGGCACTGAATGGTGAGATGGGCAAAGGCCTGGTGATGAAGGAGAAGGCAGAGCAGGGGCCACCAATTGGCACCAAGGAAGAGTGAGGCATCACCTTCTACAGAAGCCAGAGTGAGAAGGACCTGATCCTCAGGCAAGCGTGAGACCTACATGAATAATGAATACAGCTGCCTCCCCTGAAATCTGATCTCTGGCCCTAGCCTAGGGCTCCTTGCCCTGTGGCCTGAGGGTGCCTACCACCAAGTCTTTGCCCAAAGCCACAGATACCACTCCACCCTTGTGGGCAGGACATTTGTTCCTTCAACCCTAGGTCTCCACCATTCAGAAGAAAGGGTGCTGCTTCAGGAATCTGGGGAGAGGACTGGAGCCAGGTTAGGCTACTGAGCAGCAGAATCACTGGCCTCTCTGAACCTCAGTTGCAATGCCTCTCTGAACCTCAGTTTCTTCTTTTGCAAAAGGGGAATTAGAACTCCTTTCCACTTGGCTATGGAAATGTCACATAGGGGAGAGCAAGGAGCTCAATAAAGAACAAGGGTGGTCTGGGAAATACTTCTTCTAGTCTGGCCTCTCCATAACTCCCAGAGTCCTGCCCACCTTGATGGTCAACATGATGTGTGTTTGGCCTTTCAGCACCTCCACGGCTTGGCTGTGGCTGATGTTGTCGAACCTGACACCGTTGGCCGCCAAGACTTGGTCCCCCACCTTGATGCCATTCTCCTCGGCCAGCCCACCATGGTCCACTCTGGGTCAGACAGGTGTCAGTTGATAAGACTCTGGCCTGTCTCCCTCACCCCTATTTAGTTCCCTTTCACTTGGATATGGGAATGCCCTAGTCATGCTCCTTGACCCCCCTCCTGGTGACCACATCCCTTATCAGGTCCACCCCTGACCTGGGCCCTCATTTGGACATGTAGTTGGCCATGCCTCACTTGTTGGTCATCCCCAGGCCCCAATCCCAGCCCCATTCCCAGCCCAACCTCTAGATACTCCATTTCAACCCTGTCTCTGCCCTTACTTGGACACATAGATGCCCAGGCCAAACTCCTTGCCCCCTCGGATGTTGAAGCCCAAGCAGAAGTCGTCAGAGGTCGTGTACAGGTGGACAATGCGCCGCGCACCATCCTCCGAGCTGCTGTTGGATGGAGTGGAACTGCACTTCTCCACCACCAACCGCCGGTTCACCACATCCACCCTGGAACAGCAGCAAGGGGCCCTCAGGTGGGGTCCCCAGCCACCACCTCCCATCTCCCCTCCCAGTAGTCTTGATAGCTGCATGGGAAAGGGAGGTTGCCTCCAGGGGACATCCCAGGCCTAGGATCCTCAGTGGGACATAAGTTGTATTCAGTCTGGGAAATCATCCTACTCACATTTCTATGGAACAGCTACAATATGCAGTGCCCCATTTTTTTAAAATCTTTTTTTTTTCTTTCGGTGCTGGAGATGGAACCCAGGGCCTGGGGCACAGGGAGTATGCACTGTATACTGAACCACCCCCAGCCCTAGGGCCCCATTTCTACTCCTTATAATGCCCCCATGAGGGAGGTGCTGATGCTGTGCCCTAGTTTCACAGCAGCAGCAATGAGCGAAGAGGGCCCTGGTGTTGGACAGTTAGTGCCATTGAAGTATGGCAAAGAGGGAGACTCAGGCCCATTTTATTTCCTGGGGATTGCACTGTTTCTGGCTCCTCCTGTTCAGGGGTGGTTGTGGGTTGGGAAGGCTGGGGCTGCTCACCATGTGGTTTTCTCCTTGGAGAATTTGATGCCTGGCACCCGGCCCATGCGCCGTACCATCATGTGCAGGCGGCTGCTGCCCGTCAGCACCTTCACTGCGCTGCCCATGGTGGTGCTCTCTAGGCTCAGTCCGTTCACCTCTGTGATCTTGTCCCCCACACATAGGCCAGCCCGCTCTGTGCCAGAGAGTGGGGAGGAGGCTGACCTCCCCACTGGACAGAGCTCCCTGGGGTACTGAGCTTCCTCCCTCAAGGTGCAGATCTTCAGAGTAGGCTCTGAGTATTGCCTATTAAGGAATCTCTGTCCCTTGATCCACTCTGCCCAAGGGTGGGCCCCATCTTCCATGAGATCAGCCTTCCAGAGCTGAGGACTTTTCCTCATTGCTGCCCACAGCATCCCCTGCCTCCCCTGAGATGGGGGTAACATCCTAAACCAGCAATCCTCCCCCAGGATCACTCACCTGCACTGCTCCCCTCCTCCACTTTGCTGACAAAGATGCCCAGGCCATGCTCAGAGCCTCCCCGCACACTGAAACCCAGCCTCCCTGCTGGGCTCTTCTCCACCCGGACTGCGTGGATGATGTCACTTTCATCACTGTTGGCTGCAGGAATGGGGACACAGGCATGATCCCCATGTTCATTCTGGGCACAGAGGGCCCCTAAGTTCCCAAAATTGGGGCTTGCAAAAGCTGGATTACTGGCCAGAGCCACATAGTACTGAGGGGAGGGAATCAATTTCCAAGTTCCATTTAGGGTGATTTTGACCCTGGGCCATGGAGTGTGTGGAAGCAGGTGAGGATATCAGGACAGGAGTCCTGCTCCTTTGCTGTGTGTGTGTGTGTGTGTGTGTGTGTGTAATGTTTACTGAGCATTCTGTGCCCATATTTCTAAAACAGCTGCCACTCAGAGGCCCAGAAAGATGGCAAAGAAGGTTCAAATTCCATTCTTTGGGACACAGCAAAGGGAGCCTGGCCTCTTCTGCTTGCAACAGAAATGATAGATTAGCTCTAATTTCAAATAGCTGTAGAGTGAGGCTCTGGAAGGCATTAGATATTTTTGTCAGTGGAACCCAGAGGGCAGAATCAAGCCCATGTGGTGGAGTTAGACGGAGGCATGTTTTGTAAGGAAAAACTTTCTGAAATATGCAACTGCCAGAAATGTAATGGGTTTCCTGGGACAGCTAGTGAGCAGCATGCAAACTCAGACCTGGTAAATCCCTAACTGGGATGTTTAGGAAGGAGTGTTGAGGCCTCCATCTCTTAGACTCTGTGATTCTGGGAGTAAGCATGCAGGGACTACCTGGCTACCTGGGGAAAGAAACCCCAAACATCACCATGCTGCATGGTGTGCCCAGAGCTAACTTCTCCATCCAGTGCTGGGGTAAGTCAGAAGGTACGGGAGTGTCCTGGGTCCCAAGTTATCAGGAAAGGCTTCTTAGAGGACTGATGGATGGGATTTGAATGGATGGAAGGAAAAGGAGACACTGAGGAGGGGATGGAGTGAGCCAGGCTCAGAGGCCGGCCTTGAGGAGAACTTCCAGGAAGAGAAAAGCAAGAAAACTTAAGGATAAGTTGGGCCCCAGATGAGTTGGGTCCATTTCTGAGATTTCTTCTCAGAAAGGCTTACCCTAGAGGTATTTGAGAGGGAGAAATCACACACACACACACACACACACACACACACACACACACACACACTTCAATTTGATCTAGCCGAAATCAGGTTACAGTGCATGGCCAGCTCAGACAGAAGTCCCTAAGGGCAGCCTTAGGAGGGACAGTGCAGGACAGAGACTTGGGAGCTTGTGGGGTTTCCCAGCAGACTGTAGTCACAGGACACTTCAGCCTCAGCCCAGGAGTCTTTTGCTCCCAGCCCCAGCCCTCTTTCTCCTCAGTCCCTCCCAGGGGGCCCCTAGGGCCCTGCGCCAAGGTGATACCTATTCTGAGGTTTGAGCTCCAGAAGCCTGAGTCCTCTAAGGATGGGACCTTCTCTCCCTCCACTGCCCTGGCCCTGGCCACCCACCCATCCTCCAGGAACTCTACAGCCGTTGCCCATATGCCCCCTTCTGCTCTTGCCCTCTCCATCTTCTTCATGGCCAGTCTGTGTTTATAGCAAGGCATGCCTCTCCCCTGATAAAAAATGTCAACTCCTGTCCCTTTGCCAGCTTCTAGAGGAACTCCAACTCCTCCCTGGACTCAGTGAGGCCACCCACAGGCTTCCTCTGCCCACTTCCCTCCCCTCCCTCACCGGGCTTTGGCCACACTGACCTCCTTCCTATTACTCTTGGAAACCAGCCCTTTCCGTGTCCCCTTTGCCTGCAACACCTTTGCCTCGACCTGCATAGGCCAGTTCCTTTCCTCATTCCCTCTCTGCAGCCTTCCTGGACTCCTGGCCCTCCTGCCAGTTAGTCCCTGTCACAGTAGTTCCTGGGATGTGGTGTGAACCAGCAGCATCAACATCACCAGTAGACATGTTAAAAAAAAGTGAATTCTTGGGATTCACCACAGATCTAGAACCAGAAACTCAGGAGTAAGGCCAAGTGATTTGTCTTCGGTTTTTTTTTTTTTTTTTTTTTTTGGTGCTGGGCATTGAACCCAGGGCGTCAAGCATGCTAGGTAAGGCTGTACCACTGAGCTACGTTGAGACAGGGTCTCAAAATATAAACTAAGTCGCCAGACTGGACTCTTGTGATCCTCCTGCCTCAACCTCTGGAATAGCTGGGATTTCAGGCTTTTGCCACCTGCTGGCTACATAGTTCTTTCAGCAGAGTGAAACCTATGAGGGTAGTGCCTCCTCACTCCCTTCCACACACACCTCCTAGCTCCTCTGGGGACTTCTGCTACATGACCAGAATGACAATGGTGACCCTCAGCAATGCCCTGCTGCTCACCTGAAGGTGAGGCACACCGTGGTAGGTGATGGCATGAATGTTCTGGGGACAGGGGCAGAGACACCCAGCTGGGTCAGAGGGGAGGAGCAAGGCCTGAAAAGTCCAATCTGAGATCCAGTCAGAGGAGTGCTGCTGGATAAGAAAGAGGAGAGGAGCTGGAGATATTTATCTGGTCCTTCCTACAGAAAGCCCAGGCCCAGAGGGCCCTGCTCCCTGCCTGGCAGTCAGGGTGCTGTCTTGTTCACCAGATCTTTGCCGCCTCACATCTGTCGCTGCAACCAGGCTATCTCCTAGGTGCCTGCCTCACATGCTCCAGCTTTTCACTCTAACCTCTATGGGTGATAGCTGAACCCCAATACCAGCTGTTTTTGTTGCTGTGTCTCTAAGTCCTGCTACAATGTATGTTTCTGGAGGTGAGGCTCATTTCTCTAGGTCCTCTGCAGGACCTAATCAGGGTAGGTATAGAATTGGTATACAATAACTGCAGCATCAGGTAACTACACCAGCTTAGGTCATACCCTCTTTGAGGGCCCAGACCTAGGCCTCCTTCAACCCTCTTCTCTCTTCTCTTCTGACTGAACATTTGCTGCTCTACCTTCAGGCCCTTGTTTTGATCCCTGAAACCTGGGCACTGACTCCTCATAGTTAGGCACAGAGCTGGTCATACAATTGGCTGGTTGCTGGAAGATGTCCTTTTCCATCCTGCTCCATCCCACAAAGCACACATAAATGGATCTGGAGAAAAGCAGAGTTCATGGGAGGAATGGGCCTGTTCAACACCTAACCTTGTTCACTCCAGGGCTAACATACTATACACACAGCTTTCCCTGCTGTCCTATCCCTAGCTTCTAACTCTGGTCTACAATCTTAGAGCCCTAAAGTCTTGACTTGGAGGAGAGGCAAGGGTAAGCAAGGAAGATGTGGGTTCCCAGAGCCCTCACTTCCCTAAGACTCCTATCTCTTGAGTTCCCCCCAATCATTGGCTTTACCACCTCCTACTTAGTTCCTGCTGTCCTCTATCCCAGCCTTCCCCAGCCCAAGCTAGTGACTGGGCCCCACACCCACCTTCGATGGGGGAGTTGATGAGAATGACACGGCCCATGGGTGATGAGGCTCGGATTCCACGGGGGGGGCCCATTCAGCAGTCGCTGCTGCTTCCGCAACAGGTATCGTGTTGCGGTGGAGCCGAAGTCGCTGCCCAGGTGGCCTCGGGAGGAGAGGGAGCTCAGAGAGCTAGAGCTGAGTTCTCCTAGACCTGGTGGGTCAAAGCCCGCTGTGAAGCCATGTGCCATGGTGGCTGGACTGGAGTGGCACCCTATAGGTCCAGAAGGAATCTGCCAACCCTCCAGAGGCCAGCTCCCAGTGCTCTGAGCTCCATGAGCCTTCCGTGCAGGGTGAGGTCTCAGAAAGGTGGAACCCCTCACTTCTCAGGTGTGGTAGGCTCCAGACCTGGGCAGGGAGAGCATAGATTGGGTGAGAGGGTGTGAACATTGCCCTACTGTCCCCAGAACTGCCACTTCTCCCCCTGGTTTGAGCATCCTGCCCTCCCATATCTTAGACCCTCAGCTCCCCACCTCTCCTACCCTGGGCCAGGGGTTGACCACGGCCAGGCACCATTTTGGACCTTTGGAGCCATTTATATAAAAGGTGTATGGGGAGCTCTCCGCATTTCTGCTCTCAGCTGAGTCATTTACCTCATCCCCAGTCCTCAGTAGAGGTTGAGAGAGTGGATATGGGATTATTGCAGCCCCTGGCCTTCCAGCAATGTGGGGAAAATGAAGGGCCAGGACAATTCATTGCCATACCTCTTCTGGGTATGCGGACAGGGGCCAACCTTCAGCGTAGGGCTTCAGGACCTGGGACAGCTGCAGCCCAGGCCCAAGAAATCCCCTGACCGCAGGCAGCTGCTCAGGGTTCAAAACTGCTGCGTGACTCCTTCCCACGCTTGGGCGGAGAATCTGCCGGTCAGAGCCTCACAATACCCAGCGAAAAACCCAGAGCCAAGTCTCCCAGAGCAGATCTGGTACCCAGAACACAACCCCTACTCCAGGCCTGGCCCTCCTGGGCTCCATTTCTCTGGCTTGGCCCCCTCACCTGCTCCGGTGTGTGATCCCGGCGGGTTTTGTGCACCCTCGGGTGCCAGCCAGTGCAGCAGCCAGCGACCCCGCCCACGCCCAGCGGGGCTGCGGGAATAGGGCTGGTCTGTGAAGCTCTGGGCTCCCATTGGCTAGTGGGGCCACCAGTTACTCCCTCCAGCACCTCCCTTGGTCGCCGGGGGTCTGCCGCTGGTCACCTGGTCCTGGGGCCACAGGGCTCTGCCCCAACCCGTTACGCGAACCTAGGGCTTGGCTCTCAGCTCGCCCCATCCCTCTGGAACCTTGTCTTCTCCGGGCCACGCTATCCCGGGCTCTTGGAAATGCCACCCCTTCGTGGTCACTCCTGAGGCCTCCATGGGGGGGATTCACCAGGAAAGAGCAGGGTGTGAGCCCGCGACGAGCTACAGCGCCGGGTGGCGCCTGGGCATTTAGCAGGTGTGTTGTGTGGTGACTGGGTAAACTGTGTGTGTGTGTGTGTGTGCGTGCGCGCGCGCCCGCGCGTATGAAGGCTGCCTTTATCACCTGCCTCCTTCTATGTCAGAAGGTGTCTGCCAGGCCACCCTGTTCTGGAAAGGTCGCAGGGCAGGGCAATTGTCCCAGAACACTAGGGGAAGGAATAATACTTCTGATGTATTTCCTCAGATGCAGATGGAGGTTAGCCTTCTGGCCATTCACATCTGGAGCTAAGATCGGTGGTGCATCGCTGAGGGTTGGAGGTATAAAGATACTGGGGAAACAGTGGAGTAAGGGGTCAGAGAGGGAGAGCCTAAGAGGGCGGCACGATAGGAACTCTGCTGCGAAGGGATGCTGAATACTGAGGTGCTGAGAGAGGAGTTTATGGGTACCTGGGTAGGAGCCCAGGGGGCCCAGCAAACAGAGGCCATCACAGACAGCCCTCAAGTAAACAATCAGTAACCTGAGTCCCTCCGGGCGGGCTCTGCATCAGAGGACCGCCCCTTCACACCACGCACCTGCGCCAAGTGCACCTATACCCCTGCGGCAGGGACAGGGTGCCTCTGGAGGCCCGCCAGGGCATTGCAAGAGAAGCGAAGGGGCAGTGGTGCGGCTCCTCCCTTCCTTTCTCGGGATGGGGAATGGGGCCAGAACAGATCTCTGCGGTAAGACTCGTTCTGGGAGGCCTCACGGGACCTAGTCCTGGCGGCCCGGGCTGGGGGCGTATCCCCAAATGATATCTACCGCCCCCAGGGCCTTCCAGGTTTGGGGCTGGCTAAGCGAACAAGCCAGAGGGAGCCACCTTCCCTCCCTGCTGCTCAGCGTCATGCATGACGTCCGGCTTGATGACTGGGAGGGCCACAGTCGCGCGGAAAGGAAGGCGGGTCTGAGATCTGCAGAGGCAGGCAATCCCGGAAAGCGTGAGTGCTCCCTGTCCAGGCAGGGAATGGGAGTTAGGGGAGTGGAGGGTAGGGGGTGGGGGTTGGAGAAGGATGCTTGCCTTGAAACGTGCTCTTTATCCTGGGGATTCAGTATCTCAGCCTCTGTGGAGGTCTATGGTGCACAAGGGGAGGCTGGCGGGGGTGGGGGTGTGTGTGGGAGTGTCATTTAGCATCTGCAACTGATGGATGTGAGCTCTCTGTGTGTATAACGGCCTTTATGGTTCGTGGATTGTGTCTACCCTGTTTGTATGTCTGGGTCGGGCGTGCATATCTTTGTGTGTGGGTATGTGAGAGTGAGAGAGAGTTGGGTGTGCCTGCCTTAGGGAGGAAGTAGGGTTGGAGGGGATTAGTCATTCTGCAGGATTTTGCCTAGCAAGGCCAGATGGCTGCTCCCGGCTTTCCTCTCTGCTGGGTAGCGGGGTTTCCACTGAATCCTGCTCTTTCTGGAGGTAGTTGGTTCAGAGAGAAGCAGATGGGTGTCTGTGGCAGTCCTGCCTTGCCAGGGAACAGAAAGAGCTTTGGGTCACCCAGTGTGGCTTGGGGAAAATGGGTTTGAACATAGGACATGTGCATGCCCACATGAATGCATATGGCTTACAGAATGCCCTGTTTGAGATCTGGGATAAGCCCAAAGAGCTCTGGTTGTCCTCCAATCAGGGGCTGGAACATGGGATGTCTTTTGCCATCTTCTCAAATAGGCAAGGGGGTTTATATCTACATATCAGGGCAGCTGGGGCCTGAAGCTGACATGGGCATGGCTGTGTCATGCACATATTACACCTTTCTGTGCAAGCAGAGCTCATAAGTAGCTGCACAGGATTAGTTGTTGCTCATGCATCAACCACACACATGTAAATCTTTACTCATGAAAATCTGCACCAGGCCAGAACCTAGGGTAACCTATTTTCTAGTTCTTCTCTTCCCCTCCCCCTCTTCCAGTGCTTGTAGGTCCCTGGCTAGGACATTGCCTAGGAAACAACTCCTCCTCTACCCTTGCTTACTTATCTGGAGTCACCTTGAACTCTTGAAGAGACAGGTGATAGGCTTAGAAACTAGGGCAGGGCCATCAAAGCTTCCCCCAGGTGAAGCCGTTGGACTCCCTCCTTGAAGCCCTCTGACCCTTGTCCCTGCCTTGCAGAAAATGGGTGAATTGCCCTTAGATATCAACATCCAGGAACCTCGCTGGGACCAGAGCACTTTCCTGGGCAGAGCCCGGCACTTCTTCACTGTTACTGATCCTCGAAATCTGCTGTTGTCTGGAGCTCAGCTGGAAGCTTCTCGGAACATTGTGCAAAACTACAGGTGACCCCCATCTGACACTGTGTCTTAGGGTGTCATTCACTGTCATTAATCTAGTACATTTTGTACCTGCCTTCCTAAACTTACAAGTCCCATTCCACAACCCCCTCACTCCCTGACCCCATTTGCTGGCACCTCTCCATGGCACAGAGCTTTAATCTAAAGAACTTTTGGGTATTTGGGTTGAGGAAGTAACATTGATATTTATGAGTGGAAGGCTGCTCTATGTTTCACAAACCACCATAGGAACTTTTCCCACTGTTGGTCTACTGTTGGTCTGCTCCTACCAAGGAGGTAGGAGGGCATCCCTTTTGTCTTCAGAATCAAAAGTTCTTGTGATGCTTCCCACCATTTTTTTTTTTTTTTGGTATTGGGGATTGAACTCAGGGGCACTCAATCACTGAGCCCCATCCCCAATCCTATTTTGTATTTTATTTAGAGACAGGGTCTCACTGAGTTGCTCAGCACCTCGCTTTTGCTGAGGCTGGCTTTGAACGCATGATCCTCCTGTCTCAGTTTCCCAAGCCACTGGAATTATAGGCGTGTGCCACTATGCCTGGCCCAGCCATTTTTGACTTGTCAAACCACCATCAGGGCTGGGGATATAGCTCAGTTGGTAGAGTGCTTGCCTTGCATGCACACAGCCCTGGGTTCAATCCCCAGCACTCTACACACACACACACATACACACACACACCACCACCACCACCACCACCACCACCACTACCAACCACCGCTATCTATTACTTAGCAGAAAATGTGTGGCTAGAAGGGAAATTGAACTAGGAACCCCCACTTCTGGGACCCTTTGATTCTCCCAAAGAGTCAAGGAACTCTTTTATCCTGAGATGGGGGGCCAAAGTTCCTAGTCCTCTGCCCAGAGTTTTCTGAGCAGGGTAAACAGAACTTTAGAGGGCAGATTGTCCTCTTAGAACAATTTGGTTCCTTGTCAACTTCTGCAGGGCTGGGGTAGTGACCCCAGGGCTCACCGAGGACCAGCTGTGGAGGGCCAAGTATGTGTACGACTCTGCCTTCCATCCAGACACAGGGGAGAAGGTGGTCCTGATTGGCCGCATGTCAGCCCAGGTGCCCATGAACATGATGATCACTGGCTGCATGCTTACGTTCTACAGGCAGGTCTTATCCCATGTCCCCTTCCTGAGTGATCCAAGCTAGAGTATAGCTAGGTGTCTCCTCTTTGGGCCAATTTGGGTAGAGAATAGTGGGTGGGCAGGAGCTTGTATCAGAATCCCTCCCATTCCTAAGAATGCAGCCTTGGGGGTCCCCCACCCCAGAGTCAGTGGGTCTACTTGTATGAGGGGGGCATATAAGGGTTATCAGAGCAGGTTCTAGGGTCATCAACTGGATTCTCCTGAGGGCTTGGGAGTAACCATTGGGATTTCACTATAGGGGTCCAAAGATGAGAGACACTGTAGAGGGAGAAATAAAACTGATTTTGTTCCCTCAGGAAGACCCCAACTGTGGTGTTCTGGCAGTGGGTGAACCAGTCCTTCAATGCTGTTGTTAACTATTCCAACCGCAGCGGCGATGCTCCCATCACTGTGCAGTGAGTGCCGGTCCCTGGGAAAAACTGTGGTGCCTTTTCCCAGCCCACACTCTGTGCTTTCCTTGTCATT